ACTTTTTTTTTAAACTTTATTTAATGTAGTAACTTATGTTTTAAGAATACATATAATCTTTTAAGTAATGTTTATATAAGTGAGAAACTATTTTTGCTGCTGGTTTTCGATACTAACATTAAAGTATTGAAGAGAAGAAGTTAATCCTCAACTTTGTTGTTGTAACAATTACAATAAATTTATGACTCTTTTAAAAATAGGTTATTTTTCGCTTAGAATAAAACCTACAAGTTGCAAGGAGGCACTTCTATCACCTAGAATTTATAATATGCGCTTTACATTTATATTTATATTCTTCTATTTATTATATTTTCTTGAAATAAAAAATCCGTCCAATAGACAATTCAAGGGTACACATTTTTTTTTATATATACATATATTTCATTTATAAAAAAATTCCTATTTGAAACACGAAAATTCAAATTTGAACGCCGCACGCGGGGAATGTGCGTCTAGTACGGTAAGAAAACGCTAGAGCGCGTTCACACAAAGAAGGAAAAACCTGCTACTCAAAAGAAAATAACATTAGCATAAAAGGCACCAGCGTGCAGTGTAAAGTAGTCCTTTTCCAGCGAGCCTGGGACGCGGAAAATCCGCTGCTCACCCAGACCTGGAATTTTCCCGTGCACCGGTACATTACCGCGACGAGCACAAGGGGAGAGAAAGTGACCAAATACGAAGGCCGAGAGCTTAAAAGTAAGTTTGTACACCACTTATAGGTAACACTTCCACTAACCGGTTCCTACTTGGACTTTCGGTGCTCGACCGCTTTAAGCGTGGAGACAACGCATCCCCAAGTAGTCAAGACACTAGGGTTAGTGACCACGTTCTTAGGTGAAGTTCCTGGGTTGACGACTTGAGTACTGCTCAAGACATCCACGGGCCCTGAGAACGACCTAACCCTACGTGACTTGGTAGGCTAGGTAGTTATCTAACATTAACCTTCCGTGGTTGTACTAAAAATTCGTGCTAGTCTAACCTAACGTGTCTAAGCGGAGATTTTAAGGAGGGAAAATTCAAATCGTCGTTTATGTAAACTTTTCTGTTTAATAAAGGCGAATAAATTTTAAGTAAATTCTAAATTATCGAGTATATTATATATTTCCTTTTTTCATTATTAACGTAAATAATCGCAATTACTCAAATATAATTGAATAAATATAAGATAATTAAAAATAAATTGATTGTACTTATTTAAGCAAACCTTCCCTCCACGTATGATTGCGAGTTCCTTTTTTATAGTTTAAGATAAAAACTAGAATAATTGCTGTTAAGATATTTATGAAATTGTTTATATAAAATGAGAATATTGTCTGTACCCAAAAAGGGGCAGGAATAAATTAAAAAAGATATTAGATTTAGAAAGATATTGAATAAGTTAAAAAAGACATTAAATTAATTAACTTAAGGGAATATTTAGGGAACGATGAGAATTCAATAAAGTAATAATCAAAAAACAATTGCTGTATATTGTGCAGGAATTAAATGATTATTCAACAGATAAATTTTGAAACTTGATAATAATTATTTTTAAATATTGTATATAATCGGCAATCTGAGCAACTTCGCTCTTTTACACAGGGCAACGAACCCGCCCACCAACATATAAACACTAACATTGTTTGTGTGTTGGTTTCTAATCTTAGAGTTTCCTCAGTACAGATAATATTCTTAGCCGATTGTTATTACCACCAATTAACCGGGGTTATACTTAAAGAAAGGGAAGTCGTAAGGTCAAGTTCAAATAAAATCCGTGATCGAAAAGTAGTTATAAAATCAATTACTAGATTCATTGTCGAGAAACGCATTATCAGACTTAAAACAATGTTATATGTACGTTTATAAAATGTTCATTAACCAATGAGGTAACCAAGGTGGTAAATGTTATCCACAAAATAAGAAAATTAACAGTTTTTGAAGTACCTTATGAGGACGTCAATTCTTTCTCATGTATCGAATCCACTTTGGCCAAATGGGTGAGACACTTGTCTGGAGATTCTCCGGACTAGGTTCAAATCCCCTCAGTGGAGGTAAAAAAAGCTCTTTTTGTATTTACTAATTTATATTATCTATTTTAACAGCTTTTATGCAAAAAATATTTTAAAATTCACCGTGTATGTATGTAGATAGTAATTCAATACATTTAAACGACTGATGCACGAGCTCTTATGAGAACTGAAATAAGAACTTACATAAGAAATTACATAAGATCTTATGTAAGTTCTCGGTTGATAAGCAAATGTAAGATCGTGTACAAGTTCTGACATAAGTTCTATATAATGAACTTGTATGAGAACTTATATTAAAACATATGTAAGAAATTACATAAGAATTTACATAAGAAATTATATAAGAATTTATGTAAGAACTTATGACAAATTATTAGCTGGGTATTGAGAGATCTTTTAGTGTTTTGTCTATTTAATTCTGTTTTACACAGCTTTACGGATAAATATGGGCTAGAAAATTGTCAGAATAAAGAGTCCAGATCTTGCGTTTTTTTAAATACCTCAATTCACATTTTTTTTAGCACAGTAGTCTTCATAAAATGTATTCTTAATGTTAAGTCAACTGCAAATTAAGTGATTTCTGTATCTGATGAACTTATCAGATTGAATTTTTATGTAGGTGTATTTGAAAAATGAATGTAGTATTGCCTGTCAGTGTGATGTTGGCTACAGACAGCACGTAGCATCACTGTAAAGATGCTTACTCACCGGCAAAATTGAAATATGCTTGAAAATCAAGTATTTGCAATACCTTTAATGTACTTTAAATACTCTGTATTTCAGGTTTTCTCAGCATAAGGACCATAGCTAGTAATAAAGTTAAGGTTATTAATAATTTAATTAATCATTTACAATACAGTTAATCATTGTTTTATGAACATTAAAAGTTACATGTATCTGTTATACTGTCTTTATGGCTGGTAAACATAAACGAACTAAAGAATCTGCTTCATCACTTAGTATTTTAAAACTATGAATAATAAACTGCTGGCAGTTAAATTATAATTTAGATTTTTTGTACTAAAAATATAATCCTTTTAATTATTTAGCTAGTTGACATAATGTACCAAGTAAATAGCAATTTTATTAGGAAAGAAAAGAAGTACTGATAATAAAATTCTTGTTTTATTACTTTCAATGATGAGTCAAGCTCACTTTTGGCAAATATTTTTGAGCTCAAGAAGAAAATTTTAAAAAAAAGTAGCAAACTGTGAAAACGTTACCCAACTTTTGACTTTTTTAACCATGTGTGATTAGTAAGGGTACTTTCTTCTGCTTGTTGTGTTAAAGAGCTATAAAGTCAACAAGATTCTAGAGAATAAACTAGGAAACTTAAATAAATGTCAAACTGACCTTCATAAAAATTGGTGGATCCAAGCCTCATTAGCTAAACAATCTGAGTTAAGAATAATTAAACATTCTAAGGTTAGTTTTTTAGTAGAATTGAATTAATTAATTGTTTAAAAACTTTTTTGTAACTTGCACATCGCTTTAAGAGTTTTTGTAAGTTATACATAATAATCAATTGTAAAAGTTAAGCAGTTTGTTGATATCTGTCACTTAGAATATTTTGACCTCGTCAGCTTAGAACAAGACGTACTGGTAAAATCTAGTGGAGTTAATGACACATTAGTGTGTTTTGATGCGTGTGTCAATGCATGTCAATACAAAACATTTTATCTAAAAAGTATGTTAAATATATAGTCATCCACTTTGCGTTATTAGCTGGGAAACGAAAACGTTTAGAATTGTAAAATACAGTAGTCTATTAGAAAAAAAGCATTGTACATGATAAATCCAAGGATTATTATATTTTTTGATAAAGTGTATCGATTGTAATAATTCAAAACTATTTATACAAATTAACTCTTCAGCATACATCAAATTATTGTAAGCCTCATTACTAAGCAGCTTTGAGTTTAAATCGAGTGTAAGTATTTACTTTGTGCAGCAATTAAAAATAGAGCCACTTGCATAGAAAAAAACGTTAATACTTACGTTCAAAAACATGTAACAAACTCATGTAGAGCCATAACTTTTTCTCATTTTGTACTAATTATCTGTGACAATTAGGTAGACTTGTACGATTAAAATTTAAAACCTAAAAACAATTTTCTTTAAGCTTCATGGTAAAAAAAAATTTTTTCATAAGAACAATATGTATTTTGTGGTTATAATAATAATTTTTATGATGGTACTTCTGCTGATTGAGAAAACTACACAAAACACATTACAGTTTACCATATCTACCTCGTGACAACTTTGTCTACTTCCAGTACTTATTAACATGTACAGTCCATGATGTGTTTTACTTTTTTCTAAGCAACATGAAGACTAGAACGTTGCGTCAGTAGAACATAAAGTTGACTAAGCTGGTGGTACATGAAGAGCATGGTTGTTGTATGTTCATGCCCAACTCACGTATATTGTTTTTGTTATCAGGGTTGCAAAGTGTAATATCTTTAGAAAACTCTTTGCGCCTAATTAATTACTTTAGGCCTTAGAGGCGTAACAACCCTTTCTACCCGTGGTCCCAAAATGATTACAAGAGCACTAATTGTCACCTGATGGCGCAAAGAGATAGTTAAACTTTATGCTTATAGCAAGAAATGGCAGTTTTCGTTATAAAAGTGCCATCGACTCCTACCAAGGACACACCTGATCCTCAAAAATGCATGAGGTAGGAAACAGTATTTTTTATACCATGGGCGCAAAGTAGAAAAATCTTTTTGAAGCGTGGGATTTCGTATGCTTGTGCCCAAAGTACGTCATTTTTCTTTCCAAGAACATCAAAACGTACTTCTTACAAACTAACACAAATTCTTGCAAGGAGATAACTTATATACAGCTAGGTTCTCACTGTACTCTAAAAATTTTAGTTTTTTAGATTTTTTATGTTATAACTAATAATGTTCGAAAATCATTACTTACTTGTGTACATTTTCAGCACTACTTACAATGCAATAAATATTTTGATGATGTTTTACTCACCCAACATTTTTGTCGTTCCTCTCTTCCTTCTCATTAAGACCAGTTCATAATTTAATTTTCCGCTAAGTTTTTGTCTCAGCTGATAACTTTCTCTAATTTTTAAACTTATTTTCAAGTATAAAATGATGATTACGAACATTGGAATGAAGAAAAATACTATACTACTAAGTTCATAGATAGGATAATTTGGCAAATTAATGACTAGCATTGCACAAATGGCAGATGCTGTGGAATAGTTTCCTGAACCTGAAAATTCCAATCTTTGTATTGCAATGCATAAACAGAGAACTATTTAAAAAAAATTTAAGTAATAGTTAATATTGTATACAGCAAACTAAGGAAAATACAAAAATGTACTATACATTTTAAGCATTCCTGGATAAAATGTACTTGATTAAAACTAAGGTATTCAAAATATTCGTTATTTTCAGATCAAAATAGGACTAGTACCCAAAAGCTGTATCAACCATTAGTATTTTAATGAACGACAAGATTATTAATAGTTATATTATACTCGAACACAAATAACAGAAGAATTGGCCCATTGTACTGGACATAACGTATATGTTTTTAAATTTTTACTAACTTGAAGCTAAGAATTATCAAAACTAATTTTTGGTATTTGACAGAGTATGTTTTTGGGAAAGAAACCTAGAAAGAAAAATATCAGGATGTTGGAACAACTTTTCTTCTGCAGATGAACAAAAAATATACTTATAGTTACCACTCGTTAAGAATTTTGAACTGTCTGAGATGACATACGTGAGCTTACAGCCGTATTAATTTACTATATCACTTTCTTACTTTTGGTATTATTTACTTATTAAATGCAGTAACTCTAATTGCGATAAGGTTCAGCTGTCTTTTTAGTCATTAAGTAGTTTTCGTATCAGGTAGCTTACGTCACCAGAGTAAGCCCCAGGACTCCTTGCTCTTACCCTGGTTCGATGCGCTCCAAGCGCAATCTCTGTTTTTCCTCCTGCGGGTAACGCAAGGGTTAGAAATACACCAAAGTATGATAATAAGAGTTTTCTTACAACACAATGTGCTATATGAATAACATTGTGATAAAATAAGAAAGTTCTTGTACCGCTTATTCAAATGAACTTTTTGATCCATAACAAAGGATCACTTTTGAACTGGGTAAAGTTAAATGAAAAATAATAGTTTATAAAAAGTACTCTTAACTATGTACCATTGATGCTGCATTGCCATGGAAACATAATTTAAGCCACATAAGCGTGTAGTGTAACATTGATATAAGTTTTAATAAAATACTTAAGATATTTAATAATTCTATAGTTGTGCTCTAATCCAATGGTGTTTTTTATCTTGGTTATTAAGTTTCTATAGCTAAAAATATAATTACTATCCAGTAGTGTTACGAGATAAGCGTAGAGCGTGAGAAAGAAGCGTAGCTTTGGTGACAACGCTACTATTTGCTCCAGATTCGTGTACTCAAATTTTCAAATACTAAAACATAATTACCATCGTCAGTGAGCTTCTTGTTTTTTTATGTAGTTTTGTCTCTTTAATCCTATTTTACAGCTTTACCGAAAAATAGGTGCAAGAAATTTGTTGAAATAATGAGAATGAGATATGCATATTTCAGAATTTTCAAAACAAGATTTTTTCGGGCTCAGTGTTTGCGAAATGGTCTTATTGTTGCGTTAGCTATGAGGCAAACTTTGAAGTAAGGATAGGCGTATTGTTTAAATAAAGTCTGTTTAAATTATTAATCTCAATACTTATTGAGTAAATATCTTTATCTATGATTTTTTAGTTTACTTTCTTCTTTGCTGCTTCATTTTTTTCTTGATCTGCTGTTTTTGTAAGAATTCCAATATTGTGATAGAAAAAAATAGTGAAAGCAATGGAGCTTTTTTAATGTCATTTTGCACTAAAGAAACTGAGCTAATAATATAATTTATATTTGATTATCCAAGTATTTTTTTTAATTTTGTATTTTGTACCTCAGATGTTATCTTTTACTGTAAAAGTTCACTGCACCCACTGTAAGAGAATATCGTTTACTATTTCTTTGCCCGTACATTTCCATCCAGGGTAGTCACAGAGATCTGTTAAGTATTGAGTATTGTACCACAAACGTCCTTGAGACCTGGCATAGACCTGGAAAAATGCATACCACTAATGGAGGCTGCTATTTTTCCTGAAAAATCTATATAAAAAAAAGCAGTTAGACCTTGGATTAGATAAAAAACCGGAATACTCTTAAATTTATCACTTGATATCTCCAAACACCTAACAAGAGACTTAACTGTAACGTTCTTATTTGAATCAAACGCAAACAACGAATGATTAACATACTAGATAGCCATGCTTGTTTAACACTTGTAGGTACATATCCGACATTTGGTATAAGCCAGAATCAACAATGTATATAAATAGGATTATGTACGGATCGACTAGAAAGGATCATCTACCCAACTGTAACTTTATGACAGTTGATTCTTACTGTTCCCAGGCAACGTAACGTTAAATTGAGTATATCAGTACTCAGTACAGCATTAATTGTTTCTTCTACCTTACGATTTGAATATTAATCTACGAGACGGTGTAAGTACTTCACACCACAGATACTTACCTATCGTATAGTTAAGAAATTTTTTTGATAAATTATTGTTATCATCAGGTGCTTAAAACTGTTATAAAGAGAATGAAACGCACAATTATTTTAAGTAGAGCTAAAAATAATCTAAAAACGTAGTTTCTACTCACATATGGTACTCCTAATCTTTCGTAGGATTTGAAATAAAAGACATATAAGTATTTTCGAATATTTTCACCATTTTCATAATAACATAACCTAATGACGTATATTTCATAACAACAAAAATCAGAGAAATTGGTCCAGAAGTATAAGATTTTTATTAGTTTAAACGTTTACCACTTGGGTTACAATTTATGAAAATATGTTTCCAGAGATCGTAAAGAATTCCAAAAGACCATCTTACATCATCCCTTTTAAAAAGAAGATTTGTAAAGTCTCATACAATTCACAACGATATTGAGCGTCTATCGCAATTTTCTAAAATAATTTAAAAATGTAGCACGAAAATATCAGAATAGTTTAAAAAATATCAATAAAGTCAGTTGGGGTCAACATAGATGAACTAAAAGGAGAAGATAGAGTATATAGAGTAGCTTAAATAGATGAAGTTGATGTGATGTATGGAAACGGAAGTAAAGCAAAAACTTGTGAAACAGAAGATCATGATGAAGAAGAATATTCACCAAGGATGACGGATACTACGCTAAAACTCTTTAATCAACGCGATCTAAGTGATTTAATCAGAGAGCTTGGATTGCTGAAAGATGGTACAGAATCATTAATTTCGAGACTGAAAGAAGGGAATATGCGATCCAGAGAAACAAAAGTGACATTTTATCGTAACAGAAAAGAAGCATTCCAGAAGTACTTTAGCAGGGAAGAAGACTTGGTGTACTGTAATGATGTTTATGGTCTAATGAATGAAATGAAAAAAAATATATATACACAAAGTCAATGACTGGTGATTGTTCATGGATTTCTCGAAACAAAGCACGAAAGCAGTATTTTTACATAATACAAATTTATATGCTAGTGTACCTATCGCCTATTCAGTAATATTCAAAGAAAAATATGAAAATAACAAAATAGTTTTAGAGAAGATTAAATATACTGAACACAATTGGCAGATTTGTGGTGATCTTAAGACCCTCACAATTATTCTGGGATAGCAATCTGGTTTAACGAAGTTTCCATGCTTACTATGCTTGTGAGACAGTTGGGATCGTGCTAATCATTACACCAAAAAAGATTGTCCAGCTCGGGATTTAATGAAAACTGGGTCTCACAACTTTATTTTTAAACCATTAGTTAAGCCATCAAAGATTTAACTTTCTCCTTTGCACATTAAGCTCGGGTTGAAGAAATAATTTGTTGAAGCATTGGACAAGGAAGTGCAATGTTTTCCTTATTTGTTCAAATAATTTCCAGCTTTATTTAGTGCAAAAATTAAAGAAAAAATCTTTGATGGGCCTCAAATTTGTAAGTTGTTAAGAGATAAATCGTTCGTTGATTCTATGAATAAGAAAGAAGGAACTGCTTAGCTGAGCTTTAAAAACATGATTGAGAACTTTTGAGGAAACCACAGTAAAATTTATAAAGAATCAGTGGATGATCTCCTGAAAAACTACTACAGACTAGGCTGCTTGATGAGTTACAAAATATACTTTCATGGCTCACATCTTGTTGACTTTGTACAAAATCTAGGGGAGTACTGCGAAGAGGAAGGGGAACGTTTTCATCAAGATATGAAGGAAATGAAAATACATTATCAGGGTGTCTGGAGTGTGAATATGATGGCTAAATACTGTTGGACGTTAAAAAGAGAAAGTACAGACAATGCTAAGAAACTTAACCGTAATTTACTTCATAGATCATCCAAGGATAACAGAGTTCGAAAAAGCAGATTGTCATAAAGCTTTTCTTTTTTATCAGTGTCAAGCTGTGAAAAAAAGTAAGTTATTCCGGCTTATTAAAGGATACATCAAATTTTTTTATTTCTTGCATGAAGTCTTCCCAATAACTAGTGTTTTAAGGTTATGGAGTTTTGGGGTTGTAGAATTAAGGAGTTACATGATTAAGGGATTGTGGGGGCAAGGGATCCAACAATACTGAAAACATACAGTATACGTATTTTTTTCTCAGACCAAAGCAAAATTTTTGTTAAGCTTACACATAGAAGCCTATAAAAGTATGTTTATTAAGCTTATGGATAAATACAGACAAGGTGGAGCTATTAACACCTCAGATCTGAATGTAGTGACCCCAAAAAGACACAGTAAACCTACTTGTCTCATCTGATCAGAGCAAACATTTTTCAACGCTTTTTGTAGCCTATACTGCAGATTTTTGAGGTGATATGCATGAATGCAGACCAGATGAAGCTATTAAGACCTTGAATTAGAACTTAGCTACTACAAAAACGTATAGTTAACATTATTAGACCCTTAGATTAGAAACTTTTTGTTGTGGTGATCTGAAATGTTACTTAATGGTTTTGGTAAATTATAAAGTGTTTTTTCAGGTAATGGAAAATCCCTGCATCTACGGGTGAAATGGGCTAGAAATTCAGGTTCAGTGGCAAAATAATCAAAGGAATATGGTTATAGCATTAATAGCCTGTGTAATTTTTTTTCATCGTTTTTTTTTTTAACTGTTTATTAATACAAGGTTCCATTAATACATTAGTTAATTTTTATTTCGTTTTGATCTTTCACAAACTTTCATTCAGGACCAACGTGATGTTTTTACTCAAGGACGTTTATTACAGTTAGCATGGTGAATGTTCAGAGAGGTGAAAGCAGTGGAAATATGCAGCAACGCTGCTTTTATTAGTTTGATCTTGCAAATATATCCATACATACGCTCATACTCGACCCCTTCTTTCTAATTTTATTAAAATAACTACTCATAGGTAGGAAGCGGCGTTGGCTCAGTGGTAAGCGTGCTTGCTACTGATACAACGCTGTTCTAGGGGTCGTGGATTCGATTTCCGGTGAGTGTAGATTTTTTCAAAAACTGTTTTCACCGGAAAAAGTTCCTATGTAACCCCGGCTGTTTCGGGGCGGGTTTTTCCGTGGAATTTTCCTTCAGAGTAATTCCAGGGTTTTTTCCTTGCTCCACAGGTCTTCGGGCCTGGGTGAATGTGAAACAGTGTTAGGGCCTAATAGGTAGGGATTAGCGGGCCTGATGCCAGGCAGGGATCGCCGGCCTTACCGGCGAGGAGTGGCCCCTGAAACATGGGGCTTCTCCGGGGATGCTAATTAGCCTGGATCCGATGCTTCGGACCCAGGCTACACAGTGGCGAGTTGACCCGATGCACTTCCCTCCGGTGCAGAGAGTGTCAGCTTAACTGACAAGGTGTGTTACACCGGAGATACTTCCACTGTGCCCATGGTATGATTTGTATGGTATCA